TTTCAGCATTCGCTAATCAGTGTTCACAGCGACTTTACAGAACATAACTACCGCGAATAACGAGAATCAACTGTACGTTGCTTCCTTGTAAGAGAATCCAGCTAGGAAGTTTTACTTTTGGGATAGAAACTACTTTTTCTACTGAAACGAATGTTCGTCTGAAGGAGAGGCTCCAACCCGCCAGTGACTTACATCGGTGCCGTGCTTGCGCGTGGCCTGGGAGGCGAGGGACCTGATTCTCTCCCTATAGAGCTGGGCAGCGCGACTGTTGTACTTGGCATTGCTGTCGTTGGTGGCACACCCGTGCTGATGGAAGAAGGAAGACTACGGAGGAAAGGAAGAGGATTAACAGCCATACCGCATTAACGCTAACACGGGGACTAAAAAAGTGTTACTTCACATTATGAAGGATTTTTGTAAAATACTACTGAAAACCAAAACGATTTAAACCATGAAAAGTTATTGTAAATCTTTGCTTGCAAAGGGAATTCCTTCCACAGATGTAACTTTAATACTTGGGTAAAACTGGACATGAGACTTGCTCACAAAATGAAATAACTGGCCCTTCACTTCTCCATTAAACCACTCCCGCCATTCTGAAGGTTACCTGGGGGCTGTTTTCCACTCAGGACTACTTTAATTCATGAGAAATCCATTTCAATTTGGATTCCACTAAACTGGGAGTTTTGACAGACACCTTAAGAACTATGCTAACCTTCACCCTGTTCAGCACTGTTTCCTCATTAACGGAGACCACAGCACAGGCAAGGAGATAAAGTAGATTTTAAATAATTAGAGGAATTTGCTTTCAACTGCCTTCTAAAGATCCACATACAGACATGAATTATAGAACTCATATCTTAATTAAAGCAGGTATTCTAAAAACCTGTTTGAGCGATCCTTTTACTAATCCAATTTCACTAATAATAGTATTGAGCTGCCACATGTACCAGACCCTGTCCTAAATTCTTTGTGGGCATCATCCCATTAAAAGCTCGTAGCAACACTATCAGACAGTCACTGTTACTATCTACACTATAGATGGGGAACTGAAGCACAGAGAGGTCACCAACTTGCCTAATGTCACACAGGCAGTGAGGGGCAGAGCTGGCGTTTGAACCCAAGCAGGATGGTTCCAACTCCACTGATTAAGCGAATGATCACTGAGCTGATGCTTCCCTACCCCATCTCCCCCACCTCCGCTGGCTCGGGACGAGAGCGCTGCTCTCTCAAGTTGGGTGGGGACTCTGTAACCTTGGGAAGGCTTAGAAATAAGGACAGATAAAATCAAATCCATGGTATCAAGTTTAGGGCCAAGTCTGTGAACGTCATGACAAGGGGCATGGGTTTCTAATAAGATATTTGAAATACCTAAGACAAGCATTCTTTTTTTTTTTTGGCAAGGAAGATCGTCCCTGAGCTAACAACTGTGCCAATCTTCCCATATTTTGTATGTGAGACACTGCCACAGCACAGCTTGATGAGCAGTGTGTACGTCAGCACACAGGACCCGAACCTGCAAACCCCAGGCCACCAAAGTGGAGTGCATGAACCTAACTGCTATGCCACCTGGCCAGCCCTGGCAAGCATTCTTAATACAGGTGAAAATTATTTTTTGGAAAGTGAAAATAATCTTAGTTATCACAATGGCTTGCGGCCCTCCAAAGCTTACCCCTACCTGACAAAGCTGTACTCCTTAGTGTCTGATTTCTCTTACTAGGGAAAAATTAAACCCAACTTAAATTCAAAATAATCTAATTTAAATTTAATTTTTCTGCCTAGGGAGCAATAACGAAAAAAGGTTGAGAAACACTGATCTAAGGGAATCTGGTATTTTGAAAGCCATTATTTTAGACTTACAATTTTAATTTTAAATATTTAATTGATGATAAACAATTTTTATTTGAAATGTATACAAATCTGATTTCTTATACTTTGAATTTTTTATTTTTTGGAGGAAGATTAGCCCTGAGCTACCTACTGCCAATCTTCCTCTTTTTGCTGAGGAAGACTGGCCCTGAGCTCACATCCGTGCCCATCTTCCTCTACTTTATATGTGGGATGCCTGCCACAGCGTGGCTTGCCAAGTGGTGCCATGTCCTCACCCGGGATCCGAACCAGTAAACCCCAGGCTGCCAAAGTGGAACGTGTGCACTTAACCGCTGCGCCACCAGGCCGCCCCCTAGTTTGAATATTTAACGGCATGTCTAACGGAGTTCCATTTACTCAATCTATTCCATCTTGGCATTTTAAATAGGGTACCCGTGCCTCAGAAGATTTTGCTGGCTAGATTTATAAGGCTGCCAGTCTAGTGTTTGGGAAAAAAGATATACTGAATTTGTAAATGAAGTTTAAAATGTCTGAGGATCCTTAGGTTTATAAATGGAATTAAGGAAATCTGTTCTTTGAAAATTATAAATTAATCGAACACTTAAAAAAGCTATTTTTACACAGAAATTACTAAGTTTATAAATAAGTATATGATATTTATATACTGTATTTGAAGATTTGGAGAACAGGTTTTTTAATTTATAGATTTAATTAATTAAATAAAATTCAAATACAAGCAGCTGTAAGCATTGCACTCTAAGTACAGAAGTCGCCCTCGGAGATTAACAAGCTGGATTGCCATGCAGCAGCTCCCAGCCCCCCGACATCCTCACTGCCCGTTTTCACCTTCAAAGCATTATCGCCACCTGCTGCTTTCTAGCTTATATGCTTCTTTCATCACTCTTCATCTCTGTCTGTAAGAGCGGGGTCTTGTCTATTTGTCACTATGCCCCAGCACCTAGCCCAGAGCTTCGTATTTACTAGGTGCTTCTGATTTTTGGATAAATAAGTCACCGGGCGGTCCAACCCTGAGGCCCACCGCGTCCTTCTGTCCCCAGCTGGGCCTCCCTAGCTCCTCCGCGCAGACACTGAACTTCCTTATTAGTGTAACACACATTTACACAGAAGGAAAACGACAAGTCTGAGGCGAACTTACCGCATTAGCATTTCCTCCAACTTGCATGCAGCGCAACTGAAACCAAGACCAGTTGGAATCCAACTCTGTAGACCTAAACGGAAAGAATATTCTTAAACGTTAATACTTCCCTTCCCCAGAATTAGGCCACTGAACTTTGGAGAACAAGATCTTTGTGATCTTCAGGACCCGGGGAGCTCTAAGCTTGTTGACTGTGACACAGGGATGCTGGGACTCCAGAGCCTGTGAGAGTTGGCAGGAGCAGCTCTGGCCCCTCTCATCCTCTCTAGAAGCCAGGGCTCTGATGGCCCTGCCCGCCCGCTCCCCTCCATGTCTGGCCACAGGCAGGCCACGGCAGGCTGGCAGCACTTCTGCTGCACCGACTCCAGCCAGCTGTCTCTTCTCGGGCACAGGACATACAAGCTTCACGGAGCTGCTGGATCCACTCTGACTCTTTGCCTGACATTCTTAGCAGATATGATCTAAAATGTGGTGACGGGTCTCTACTCAAAACAGACGTCCTGTTTGGATTTTTTCAGGTCAGCTATCCATTTGTCTGGTTTGACCCCACAGGAGCCTGGAGGGTACCATCCTCTTATCATTAGGTGGAAGGGACCTGCCCAACACCCCATAACAGGGGGAGAAGAAGACTCAGGAGTCAACGTTCTTCAAGTGAAAACCGCACTTCCTCCTGCCCCCAGCACAGCTATGCCCTTCTCACCCGCAACCTGCGATCAAACGGGAGCAAGGGAAAGGCAGTAACTGCGGCTCCCCACAAAACAACTTACCAAGCAATCATCGTAAAGCAAGACAGGACAGTGCAACAATGTCAGAAGGCTTTATGTCGAATCCATAGACATAAGCAAAAAGCAAGGCTATCCTGCTAGTCGACAACAGCTTGTCCCACACTAAGTGTAAAAGAAAGCGGACATTTTCGAACAGGAAGCATACCCTTCACAAAACGGGCAAGGCAGGAAGAAGAGAGGTTTCAGATTCGCAAAAATTTCCTTTTACGCTGCCCTTCCATTTACTAATGTCCATGCCTATTGGTATCACTTAACCTTTGCAAAGCTCAGGAAGTTATTTCGATGCCAGCAGCTACCTTAAGATTAATAATCATACTAGTACATATTACTATTACATATATATGACAAATCCACCTCATGGTGATATGCAAACAGTAAAAATTAAACCACACTTTAGAAGAAACAGATTTCCCAAAGAACAAACAAAATCTCCTTTTAGAATCGGATTACCAAGCAAGATGATAAACTATAAATCTTGTTCTGAAATCCCCTCTGAAAGATCTTGCTTAGTTCCACATTTTCATGCATCCCCCTAGACTGAAGTCTGTACCAAGCCCCCGCCTCTGACATGGGTGCAGATAAGAGCACAGTCTCCGGAGACAGACCGAGATAGTGCAAATCTCCACACTGCCTCTTCGGAGCTGGACGACCTTGGAAAAGCTACTTAACCTCTCTGCGCCTTACTTTCCTCATCTGTAAAGTAAGGATAACTATAATATTATCTGTTTAGCTTTTGTAGAAATTAAATAAGCTACTATCTCAAAAGTTTTGGCTCATGGTAAATATCACATGGCTAAAATTCTCATCTCACCATTACCACCACCACCATCATCGTCGTGGTAGCCCTGCCACGCTGTGTTGTAAGCAGCAAGCTCCAGAGGACAGGCATGTCCTACAGTTTTTCTTTCATGCTCCTAACACAGGCACATCACAGGTGCCTGAATATGCGCTGACTTAAAGGATATCCTAAAAGTGAGGCTACAAGCACTGAGACTTGCTGATCTGCCTGACAACTTTTAGTCCGAAACTATCTTTAAAAAAATAAAGCCTTGGGCGCTGGCCCCATGGCTGAGTGGTTAAGTTCACGCACTCTGCTGCAGGCGGCCCAGTGTTTCGTTGGTTCGAATCCTGGGCGCGGACATGGCACTGCTCATCAAACCACGCTGAGGCAGCGTCCCACATGCCACAACTAGAAGGACCTACAACGAAGAATATACAACTATGTACCGGGGGGCTTTGGGGAGAAAAAGGAAAAAAATAAAGTCTTTAAAAAAATAAATAAATAAATAAACCCAAACATTTCCTTATACATTTCTCAGAAATGGAGATAAAAGCTAATTGTTCTTGAACTGGGCTGACAGGGATTCTCTCTTATGACACTGGAATTTCTAAAACTTGATGACAATGGACTCGGAATACAGTCAACCCTAGGAAGCCACTTGAATCAGCGTCCACTCCCGCGTGAGGAGGCAACTCACTGCAGGGTCCTTCTCATCTTTATTTAGACTAAGCGATGCTGAAAGGGAAGAGTCTGTGACAGTCTAAGAAAAAAGGAAAGCAGAGAAAGTGAGAAAAATCGAAGAATTAGAGTCACTTTAACAAAAGAGCTCCTGTTAACCAATTAGGTAAGAGAGAAAACAGTGTTCCCACCACCTCGGTAACAGTCAAGATGTAATCTCCTTACAAAGGGCATGAACAGCTTCACCAGCGGCCGCCAAAGTCAGTGTGCTTTTTGTAAGTAGAGCATTTCCATAGATTTCAGGCACTTATGAAATCAGAAGGTATCTCGCCAAACAAACGTGACAAAGTTTCCGTGTATCAAAATTGGAAAGCGGGGCAAACCACACCGCGCTCACTCTGGACTTCTACTCCTAGGCCAGCCCAGGAGCAGCTTCCAAGCACACCCGTTTAGAACTGCTTCCTGCTTACTGTAAGGGGGTCGAGGGCTGCCTCCTGACACAGCATCGCGAAGGGCCTCCTCCCGCGCCCCCTGAGCGGGTGCCCAGGGACGCAGCTCTGCCGGCCACCAACCCTGCCGGGCCCGCCGGGGCCAGGCTGTGCATGAGCTCATTCGCTCGCCGCCCCCAGCGCCCCGCACAGTGGGCATGAGCATTCTCAGCCCCACTTGGAAGAGAGGGAAACTGAGACGCGGGGAGACTAGGAACACGCCCCGGGCCAGTGAGGGCTGGGCACCCTCGCCCGCAGCCCTCCCGAGCACGCCCAGCGCCCCTGCAGCCTCCCCGCGAACGGCCCTCCGGGGCCCCGGGAGTCAAGGACAAACTCCCGGCCCGGCAGCCAAGACCCTCCACGGCCGCCCGCAGGTCTTCCCCTTCGCGTCTCACTTCTCCTCGTTCGCCCACGCACGTAAAAAGCAGCTGCGAAATATTTCACCGTCTCCCACCTCTACACCTTTTCCGGAAGTCTGAGTGCTGGCCCCTGCCTCGTCTCCATTACCGAAATCTCACTAATCCCTTGACGTTCCTCGCGAACGCTTCCTCCTCCTTTGAACTCTGCCCAATTTTCTGACCGCAAGCAGGCGCGGTGCTTTGCCTCCATGTCCCGCGCAGCACTTGTCTAGCTTCTTATTTATGTTGTATCAAAGTCTGTCCCGACTCTAAGCCCAACAAGACCAATGCAGGCACCAGGTCCTGGTCACATTTCATAAGCTCCTGAAGTACCTAACAGTGACCTTGAAAAGCAACAGAGCTAGAGGGAGAGGGTGCCGTGAGATGCAGCCAGCACGGGAATTGGGGTGACGAGTTCCGAGCCCTGGCAGGTGGTGGGCGGGGGCCAGGGCGATCAGGTCCAAGCTGCAGTCAGCTCCCAAAGCAGCCTGCCATTTCCATGGATGCCTAACCTGCCTTTGCCTTTTTGCTTGGCCAAAGCCATAGTTCATAAGTTTTTTTCTTTGTAAAACTGTTGACTTGAAATTCTACTTAAAAAAAATCCATTTAAATAAACATTCCACCCACGCCAAACCATTAATATGTTCGTTCCTGGGACATGGGATTGTGTGTGTGCCTGCGTGGGCGCCTGGAAGGGGGGAAAGAGATTCCAGAAGAAAGACTTTCACTTCTTACTTTAGGTACTTTGGGACTGCTTGGACTTTTTGCCCAATGAGCTAGTATTTGTAATTTTCCTTAATCAATAAGAAATGTTTAAAGAGCAGCCCCCCACCTCTTAAAAAAATCCAACATACTAAGTACCCTTATCATCCTTGACTTTCTCTTGCCCGAATCCTAGACTGCCGCCCTCTGGTTATACAGAGATTTTTTTACCAGTTGTTTTGAACCATTCATAAGCACTGTGATTCATACAGTTATATTCATCTGACTTTTGAAAGGTTAGTGATTAAACCTGCAACAGCCCAAACAGAGTGCTGTCCATCCTCTTCAGGCTCTGCATCAGTGCTTCCCTCAGCACGTCAGAAAACCGCCTGATTTCCTGGAATGGTTTAAACAGGGAGTGTGCTTCAGTGGTGAGGAAAAGGGAGGGCCAGGTGACAATGGGCAGGCCTTGGCAGAGAGGAGGAGGGCAAGAGCACAGCAGAGAGAGAAAGGAAGACACCGATTATATATTGCCTCAGGTCCCGCCTTCGTGGGCTCTGGCCAGAGGAGGTGACCGTATGTTAACTGGTCACAATCAATCTGGGGGAAAAAAGAAACATTAAAAAGAAACTTGCCCTGCCAAATAAATCCCTCAACATTTAAAAAAGAGACAAGGACAGGATAGTGTACTCAAAATATTCTGGGACCAGCATCTAAAAAAAAGAAAAGAAGACAAGAAACTGATGGACCCTCTGAAACCAGAACACACAAAGAACTCCCTTTGCCAAACAATTACCTATGGAGCTACATGGCTGCGAATATTAGCCATGATGCCTGCACAAACTGATTTGTGAACTAAGAACTCGGGGAACTGAGAAATCAGAAACTGACTTCTGAAAAAAGAACCCAGGAAAGTGCATCAGAAAAGTTTTTTTAAGTTAATATATTAAAAAAGAACATTAGGTTGTTTTTATTACTATATCGTTTTTGCGCTATCATACAAAATATCTCATTATGAACTATAATAGATTTTATCCTGTAGGAACAAATGTTCTTTATAGTAATGGTGTTGTATCAATATTCCTTAAATCATAACACAAAATAAAATCGCTCAGCACAATGCCTGCCTAGCTGCCTTCTGGAAAAAGAAGTGGCCGGATACAGGTGAATTGGCTGGAGGAGGCCAGCAATAACAGAGATCGGAGCCAAGGCTGCTCAGCGGTACCCTGGCAGAGGCCCATGGCTGCTCAGGTGCAGGCCTGGCTCTGCTTCCAAATCCTGAGCCTGGCTGGGGATCCTTACAGGCACTCGCCAGAAGGGGCCAACGCAGCCCAAGCCTTCAGATAGAAAAGAAAGACGTTCACAGCACAAGCATTTGAAATTGCCACTGAATTTCACACAAAAATTACTCACTCAGGTTTTATGGTAATAGTGTCCTTGGGAGCCAGAGCCCTAGGATTCTGCTGGACGTGGAACCCTACTGTAGGGGGCTTCCCGCCCTTTACACTGACTCTCCGCCTGCTGGGGTGCAGGACGGACCCACAGCAACTGCACCGCCTCCCACCATGAGCATGACACAAGCAGGCTCCTTTGTACCGTGAATTATAAGAAGATAACAAAGGAAAAGGAAATACTGTCTCGAACCCTCTCTTCTGTCTTGCCTTCAACACCACAGCCTCATGTCTCTGACAAAGAGCTCTATAAAACAGTAACTAAGAGAAAAGAACTCATTTTCCCGGTTTACGTACTTACATAAGATTTAAATCTCCATCACTCATAACCAACCTCTCCTTTTACTCGATATCAAAGGAAACATAAAGAAAAAAGGGGGAAAGAGACCCAAGTAACAATGTAGTCACTCCCACCCCCCAACAAGGAAAGATTCACTTACCGAATAAAACTCAAGTGAACACCCAGCGACCGGTGTGATCCTGAGCAATCAATGCAAAGAAACACCCCGTAGGTTACGCTCGCCCAGCTGGGGTTTTTGGCACCACAATCAAAACACACCTGAAAGAAAATTTGAAAATTCAGTTGTTGATTTATATTAGCCAAATTAGCCATCCTATAGGATACAGTACATGACGCGGATTCAAAGCTGCCTAACCTTTACAATTTAAACTGGTTATTAGAAAATATCTTACCGAGATTTTTTTTAAAACCTCAAATTTCAATTTCTTTCATTATTATAATATTATTATATTATATATAATTATACTAATTATATATTAATCACATTGCTATAATGCAATAATTATATAATACCTCTATTATTACGTATCTATTACAACACTATGCAGTATGTGTAGTGAAGAGAACTTATATGTATGTATCACCTCAAACATTCTTATCCTTGAAGCATCAACAGGGTTCCTACCAGTCACATAAACAAACATTGGCCAGGGATGTCGCCCCACTTAGAATGCTCAATGGCAGGCACTCGTGCACATTTCTTCTCTCCCCAGCCGGAGGACAAGGAGAGTGTGGTAGCCAGACTCCAAAATGCCCCCAATGATCCTCCCTCCTGGTATTCACACCCTTCTGTAATCCCACCCTCACTTTTCCAGGGTGGTCTTTGCGACCAATAATATGGCAGACGAGCCAGTACGTCATTTCCGAGATTAGGTTATAAAAGGTGCTGTGGCTTCCTTTCTCTCTCTCTCCCTCGGATGACTGGCTCTGGGGGAAGCCAGCTGCCTTTTTTCGAGGACACTAGGCAGCCCAGTGGAGGGACTCAAGTGCTGAGGAACTGAGGCCATTAGTCCAACGGCCAGCGAGGAGGGAGGCAGCTGACCACCGCATGAGTGTGCTGAGCAGCTCCAGCCTCAGGGGACCGCAGCCCCGGCTGCCACTCGACTGCACCTCACGAGACACCCTTACCTTCCTTCCTCACCAATGACCGAAGGCCAACACTCTTCATCCCATAACAGGACGTAAAAGCACTTTCAAATACGCAGTGCTTGTCATGGAAATCATATTTATGATTAAAGTCAGAACAATAGGACAGTAAAAATTCCCCTAATAAGAGTATTGTTTTTCATTTTTTTCCAGAAAAAAACCATACTTTAGCCAACTAAGCCACCCCCAGATTCCTGGCCCTCAGAACCATTTTGTACGGGACAATATATGTTTGTTGTTTTAAGATGCTAAGTTCTGGGGTAATGTGACACATGGTGATAGATCTAATACAGAGAGATGTTCCTCTCTGAAATGCTGGGTTCTTCTCTACCTCTGCCCCTCCACTCTCTCCAGGTCACCGCTATAACCTTAGACACACAGCCCATCACCAAGGAACGTGCCCCCGCACACTGAGGGCTCCTGAAGGGTCGGGACCTGTCCCCTCACCGAGCCTTCCTCCTCTGCTGGCACAGAGCCCCGACGCGGTGAAAGCTCAATAAATGACTGCTGAACAGGTTTGTGTATTTTTTATCTCCCACAGAGCCTGAAAAATAGTGCCTTACTCATACTAAGCACTCACTAAATATATGTTAATCAAATGAATAACCTACAAAACTTATTACTAGCTCAAAAACTACCACTAGCCCCTCAACACTGACTGAAGTCAAACATTCCTCACTGGATAGCATGACATAAAAGTTCTTTAAAATACATGGTGCTTGTCACGGAAATTGATATTCATAATTAATTAAAGTCAGAACGACAGAATAGTAAAAATTCCTCTAATAGGAGAATTGTTTTTATTTCTTTCCCCAGAAAAAATGCCCCCTATTGTGGACACACTTTATAGGCAAAGCTGCCTATGTGAAGGTTGTCCCAATATAACCATCAAGAAAGATCTGGCTTTCGGCCTCTGGAGAGCAACACATGAGCAGAAACACGAGATTTCCCAAAGCCTCTCACCACACAGGCTCACGTCAAGCACGCCTGGATAGCGGGGGAGGAGCGACAAGTGACATGAAAGGCTAGCCGCTTCAGGGTTTCCTGACTGCCTGCTGTCTGCCAGACACTGCGGCAGGCGCTGAGGCGGGGAGAGGGGACGGGGTCACTGATTCCACAAGCACCTGCTGACCCCCACTGCCGGCCAGGCCGTGTGCTGGCCTTTGAAGAGCTCACTGTGCAGGGAGAGGGGATGTGGAAATTAAGATGCCCTGTGGTAACAGCCGTTAGAGTAAGAAATCCCCTTCTGTGGGACACCAAACAGTGCACCCGACTCTACCAAAGGTGCTGTCCCTCTGTGGGAGGCCATTGGTAATCCCCCACTCACTCAGCTAACAGGTGTGCACTTCCTATCAAGTGTGGACCTGGCACACACGAAGTGGGCATACAAGGGTGGTCCAGGAAGAGATGGATCTACAGTCTAGTGGGCAGGACAGTTAATCATAAGGTTGAATCTTAGTAAGCAAGGACAGAATGCAACAAGTTTTCTAGATGGGGTCCAAGAGGCCTTTGGGGTCTCAAGAATAGAGTCTAAAAGGGCAATAAGCAGCAAAAGCCTGTGCAGGAAACGGCCCTATGGAGGGAGGTGACAGCAGAGACTGGGTGCACACAGCTCAGAGCATGCAAGTCTGAGAATCACTCCCAAGGGGGTTGCAGGCTGCCTCCGAGAAGAGGGGGGTTTCCAACACGGTGGCCTCAGCATCCTCCTAGAGGCACCAACCATGAGGAGGAATTGCTAGAATGTAGCTCCACGAGGGCGGGGCCCTGTCTATCTTGTTCACCTGAACTGAGCACCGAGCCTGGCACAGAGTAGGCACTAAATGCCAAACCAGGCAGTGGGCAGTCTGCAAGGGCAGAAGAGCCACGGAGCCGGGCGCGGGCCCTACAGAACCCGAGGTCGGAAGGCAGCTAGAAAGACCAGTCTGGCTCTCACGAGGCGGCCCCGATGCTGCTGGTGGAGCAGGAGACCGCGCTTTGAGAGGGGGCCCGCACTCTGTGGACACGTGCGTCCAAAGCGAGCCACGGTGTTCTAAGCAGAAAACTAGTCCTTACAGTGATGAGGCACAGTTTTTGACTGACAACTTGTTTTGCCGAATGATGGGAATAATAATTACTACAGAAACAACAGCTAATACTGAGTGCTTACTCCATACGGGCACTCTTGTTGGCCACCGAATCTTCCTAACCGCTCAGCAGAAGGTCCTGTTACTACCGCTGCCAGGGCCAGCCTCCCGGGCATGTGTGCCACCTACGGAGTAGCACGCGGCCCGCTCTCAGAAGGGCCCAGGGCTGATTAAGGCTCTGCTGCCTCATCTTGAAATTCTCGATACTTCTCAGACAAGGGCCCTGCGTTTTCATTTTGCACATTTTGCATTCCCCACAAACTACAGAGCACAGGTCTGATCCCTATTTTAGAGAAAACTAAGGAATTAGGAAATCGAGTCTGCGAGCTACGAAGCAGCATCTCGGGGACTGGAGCCCGGCAGTCGGCCCCGGAGCGCACCCTTCAGCACACTGCCTCTCACGGCGGAAGACCTCAGCCAGGCAGCCCTTCATCTCTCCTTCGCCCCGAGACTGTCGGTTCCCCGAAGGCAGGTGCCTGGCTCCCTATGCACCAGCGCGCCCTCCGTGCTCCGCAGCGTCCAGCTGGCGCGGCGACTCGACAGCGGCTGAATGACTCACTCAAGCAATCGATACAAAACTTAGGAGCAGTGCGGCTTCAAAGCCGGAATCACAAACTAGGAAACCGACCCATGCGAGTTCAAACCTTCGATCCAGCGCAAATATTCCTCATACACAAGAGGAAGAAACTGGATCCCACATTCTAAAAGCAAACCGAGTTGGTTCTCTCTAGCTCCCTTTCCCGTCTTGTGTAACTTAGAGCGCTTTCTGACAACCCCATTTAAAAAATGCTTGTTGTTATCCAACTCTCTCACATCATTCAAATTAGTTCTCATCTTAGTTTAGGTCACGGTTTCTTTTTTTTTTTTTTTTTAAAGATTGGCACCTGAGCTAACATCTGTTGCCAATCTTCTTCTCTCCAAAGCCTGCCAGCACATAGTTGTATATTTTTAGTTGTGGGTCCTTCTAGTTGTGGCATGTGGGACACCACCTCAGCGTGGCCTGATGAGTGGTGCCATGTCTGCGCCCAGGATCCCAACTGGCGAAACCCTGGGCTGCCGAAGCGGAGCGCGTGAACTTAACCACTCGGCACTGGGCCGGCCCCCTAGGTAATGGTTTCTTACTAATGATCCAATTAAAAGTCTTTATCAAGAAATGTAGCATAATGCTGAGGAACAGCACCAGAAAACACTTCTGCTCAATGCTTCCAGTAATCCTAGTACAGAACAGAAAATTTCCACAGGCCTGTTGTTCAAAATAATAAAAGCGAAAAACAGCTGACATGTATTGAGGCCTGGTACACGCAGGTACCGCCCAGAGTGCTCTTCTTGGATTTTCTCATCTAATCCTCACAACAGCCCTCTGGGTAGATCCGGCTCGTGCCCCCATTTCAGAGAAGGAAGATAAGGTACACGGTGGTCCAGTAATCTGCCCAAGGTGACAGTGAGAAAGTAGCGGGGTCTGGATACCAGCTGACAAGTAAGCCCGCACGTGTCCCTCCCGTGGGTCCCTTGGTCTAAAGACACTGGCTTCTTATTTAAAACGGGCGCCTTCCCTCAGATTAATAGTCAAAGAGAATACACCTTGTTTCTGAGAAAAAGCAGAGAAAAAACAGTTTCTACACTGCTGATGACAGATCCTAATCTTGTCTAGTTACACAGCAACCACTCTTTATAAACAGATCAATCTAAATTTGAAAATCAAGAAAATGGCAAAAAAACTGGCACCCGAGAATTCCTGGAGCCTTTCTCCTCCCGACCTTCCGACATTCATCAGACATCACCTCCAGTAAACTCTTTCCTTTCCCACTCCTCTCAGGCTGTGAAAATAGGGGCTCCCCTCCACCAAGACTTACAACAAAGACATCTAAATTTTGTCAAACTCAAGAACTTTCTCTGCCATCACGTCATGGCTCATGACTATGCTCGTTAACAGCTGTTCACTTGGGAGGTGACTGGGGACCCGTCAGAACTCCCGTCACAGGAGGGGAGGAGAGTCCAGGCTGACACCACAGCCCTTTGCCCTCTCCAGGTTCCACTTCGACCTGTGATCCTCAGTGGAGGGTGTCACTTCAGCCCCAAGCGTCATCACGACATCTCCAGCCAGGTGCGAAAAGTTGTAAAAGTCACAGAGGGGAAAACAGCCTGTGAGATGGGGAAAAAAGGGAAAACCCCAATCTCCAAAGCAACCCAAAGGGAGGGAAGAGAAAGGGTCTGTGGTGGGCTTTCTTAGCAAGAGAAAAGAGCCGGAAGCCATTGCAGAGACCACTCAGCAGCTTTATCAGAGAGGGAAACTGAGGCTGCCACCAAAGGACACAGGGGACCCAGGAGGTCCCACCAGGCGCCCCTGAGGAGCTTCAGAGGTGAGCTCGACGGTGGGGAGGGGCGAGCCGAGCTCTCTCAAACGCCCATCGCTACCAGCTGGAGGTTCTGACCCGCTGCTGGGTCACAGGTGGCCTGCGGGGTCCGACCCCACTCACAAGAGCGCCCCGTGCTTGCTCCCCAGCCCAATCTCGGGGCCCGCGAGCTCGCGCCCAGCTCTCAGGAACTCGCAGTGTCCACGCCGCCACCCCCAAAAGCCGCCCCGGCACGCGTGTACGCTCCCCGGCCCGGTGTCAGGGACCCAGATGTCTGCCCCCGGGACCCCCAGATGCTCTCGCCTCCCCGCCCAGGACCCCCGGGGGCCCGCCCCGCCCTGGGCCCCGGCGTGCGCCCCCTCGCCCGCCCCTCCCTTGCTGAGGCCGGGGGCGGCGCGCGGGCCGGACCCAGGCGAGGCCCAGCGGCCGCGGCCGCACAGTGCGACGTGTCACAGGCCCGGCCGGCTCCTCCTCCCGCGGCCGCGGCCACAGCGCCGCAGGGGCGGCCTGCGGGGTCCGGAGGGGATGCCGAGCAAGCCTGAACCCGCCTAGAGGCCGTTACCTTGTTGGTGGGCACCGAGCGGAGGCGCTTAAAGATGGTCAGGATGTCCTGCTTGCTGGGGTCCCCCATGGTCGCCAGAAAACCGAGGAGCAGCTCGCCGCGCCAACCGGGAAGGGCCGAGGCGGAGCGGTTGCCGCCTCCGGGAGATTGACGACCGCCGAGGGGGCGGGGCTGCGCGTGACGAGAAGGCCCCGCCCCGCCCGCCAGGCCCCGCCCAGTTCCCCGCCCACAACCGGAGCGCACGCGCCTCTCGCCTTCCTAGGGTCCCCACTCAGCTGTGCCACTGGCTCCGCCTACTCAAGCCCCGCCTCCCGCGCTGCATGCGCGTGCGCAGGAGCCCAAGGAGCCCCACGCGCTTCCTCCTAGCCTTCGCCCGCCGCTGTCTCCGGGCAGTGCCGGGCGAAGCTGGGGCTTGGTGCTCTTCGCTCCCGCGCACGTGGCCTGAGGAACCACCACTGCTTCGGCTTCCTGGGCCG